AAGTTTTCAAACTGTAAAATCACGGTCAAATTTTGATGCACGTATTTATTTAAAAATAAAGTAATTTATTTTAGAGTTTGAATTTATAAAAATATACTTGATGATTTTAGCTGTATTTTTATTTTTCGGTTGTTATATATAACAGAGAAAAAGTATGACCATCGGTCATAAATTAAGTTCGGAGTTCCAAGATTACTTGGTTTTTGGACACGGGACTTTGAAACAGCCAGAAATACAAAAAATCGTTTTTTTGTATGTACGGTACGTTGTATTTGTGTACGTATAAGTGTGTGTGTAGAAAGCCCGGTTTTGTTCACCCTTTTTAAAGCTTAATAACGGCCGTGTCTTCTGTCAAAATTATCTAATATTTTGTAAGGATAGTTGATGTACAAAGAGATTGATGCTATAAATTTTAGTGGTTAAATCTCGAACCGGTAAAGAGAGAAAGAGGTCGTGTCATATCTCGTGAAAGGTCGGAGATGATCACGAATTTACTCGTTATTAACATTTAAAATTTTTTACGGGTTTCTAACCTCGAAATTAAGCTCTTTGCCATTTAATAATAGTTTAAAAGTATAATAACTTTTTAAATAAAATAGCGTAATAAATGGCGCCACCAACTGTTCTCGGAAAAGTTAAGCAACTCGTTGCTGAATTCTTTGAAATGTTCATTATTGAACGTATATGCATTTGTTTTCTTCAGAAACACAAAAAATATCATTGAACAATTATACTAATTTTTACCTTTAAAAAGAATAAATAGCACAATTTAAAACGTCATTGTTTGGGAAAATATTTAGCAAAGTAAATAATTTGATCGTTATCATTGTAATGAATTACGATAAATTATATTTTATGATAAACATCGTTCGTTTCGTTGTACGGTAAGTTGAGCACCACCGTAGCAATTTCAGAATTATTAAGACAAGAAAATTATGGTAAACAATTAAATTATCTCTTTTCAGTTGGATTTTCCCAACAATAAATGAGGGAAGAAAACGAGTTTTAAAGGAAAAAGATTTATACAAATGTTCAAGATATCATACTTCGGAGTATCTTGGCGATCTGCTTCAGAAGTAAGTTAGTTGTTATTTAGTTGTGGACATCGATATTTTAGTTACTGCTACCTAATTCTTTCAGATTTATTTATTATTTCTATAAGACTAATCAAATGAAATAGAACAAGCGAAGGTTGTTATATATATATATATATATATATATATTAGTCATTATTACTTAGGTACTGAATATATTGTGACCTTGTGTTCTGTGTCTCTTGGATATCGTGTCAGGATGTGACACCACCGAGTCTATCAAGACTCGGAAATCACGACTTTACGTCACGCGATCGGTCGCGGGTAAGCGGTTGGATTCGGAGTAGAGGTGAGGAGAGAGACGAGGAAATGATTCACTCGGAACTCCGGTTAACTAAAACGAACAATTTTAATTCTAACAAAATTCACTACATATTTACTGTCGATATCAAGCATGACTAAAAGTCTTGATTATTAGTAGCCCGTTCGAGAGAGAGCGTTTACAAACGACGATCGCGTGTTGATAAATACATTGTTAAGAGACGTTGTGTAGTAATCCTGTATTCTGACACTCGGAAGGTGATTATCTAATGTTATGGATATAGTAACACAGAGGGTGAAACTGATGATTAAAACAGTCCACAAATGAATATTCAATGGCTTCCCGGTCGGGTAACATTCAGAAGTAGTATTCGGAAGATGCAGGGACAAGTTCTTCTGTTCCCAGTTGAACGACTAGAAGACGACTGCCTGGATTCTCATCGCTCTCCCTGGTTATTGGGAATTTTTCCTTCTGGGGTTTATCCAGGAGGTCAGGAGTTTATTGCCAAGGGTCTGGCGTCCAATACTGGAAATTTATCGAAAGTTCCCGGGTGACACATTAATGAGTAGATGGATCGTCTTCACGAACTAATTTTTATGATAGCTCTTAACAAAAAATTCGAAGTCAAACGACGAAAAATTGTAAAATGACCAAAGGCGAAGATAACACTTTCTTGGGGGTCTCTTTGTCCCTTACATCATATAGCATCGAACTTAACAATATAAAAATTTATTGCAAAATAAAATTTATAATATTTATTTGTTTTACAGTAAAAACTTTACTAGAGTCACAACTATAATATTATTTACTTTTTCTATATTCTGTCCAAATTTCTTTACTTGAGATTTTTTACAGACATAGTAATCTACAAAAGACATTTTTTCACTTTTTTCATCGAACTGAGTCTAATAACAATTTTACTCGTTATTAACATTTAACTATTGTTATAACCAAATGTTGTAAGGTAAAACAACTGGTTCGTAATTTTTTTTGAAATTTAGGGTTTATAACGCCGAGTGTATCAATGGCTGTGACGGGGACAATTTAAATCTCTCCGGTTAATGATTGAACTTGAAAGTAAAGTTGAGATAGCTATTCTAGTTGGACTTAGCCATGTAAAAAGAAGAGGGTATAGAGGGATGAGTGAGGGGTAGTGTGGAAAAAGGGTGGTAGTGGGATAGAAGAGGGAAAAAAGAAGTGGAATGGAGGTAGAGTTTGGGATCACAATCCTGATTAGCAACACACTTACAAAAGAAAACAGTCGTTGGTACAAATAATTTACAGAATGTCTTTCCGGCTAGACGGTTACAATATTGAATACAAAGCGAAACGTACATGGCAGTGGCCTGTTACTACCGGTAATCTCGATACAAAAGTACTACACTAATGGTATGTTACATAAAAGGACAATGTTAAGTTAACAGAAGACATTGTTGACAAGACTGCTGATCGGAGCAAAACACACAGAGGGTCACAGATGCAATCTAAGACCAGTACAGAGGATGCTATGCGTGACACCATGGGTGACACTTACTAAGTGCATGTCCGTGGTTTCACAGAAGCAGGCAACGAAGACCAGTAGACAGATTAGCCAGTCAAACAACCACAATGGTGGTGACAAGTGTGGCGATCCCACCAGCTGCCAGTACAGAGTGGAACAGCAGTAGGATCCCCGCATGTTATTTCAGATGGAGTCCAGAAAACCAGTTAGGTTTGACGTAGTCCTGAGTTATACTCAAAGCGACTACAAGAGTTTACAAATTTGGCAAACAGCTCAAAAATCTCTTTATTCTCACAGAGTATTTTGGTTCAGAAGGCCAACCGAATCCCTTCCGTAGACAGTGCTAGATAAATTTTTCCTGCTGTCTTTTATACAGCATACAGTGAAAGATGTAATGGAGGGCGTCTTATTCAGAAATGCCATCACAACCGCACCTATCATTTTTAATCCTTTTGAATCTTGTAAGGTAAGAGGGTAAGTTACCATGACCTGACAAGCATTGCGTGATGGCATCAGAAGTGATGAAGTAGCTGAGAGCCTGTCTTTTATTAATCGACAGAAGAAACTTGTAAGTGGTTCTGCCAGTGGTTGAGGTAGCCCAATCCTTTTGCCACTCCTCCATTATACAGTCTCTGATATTGCTCTTGATATGGATGATGGGGATTTTAGAAAAAGTGGTGGTGATATCCGTTGTGTTGACCCTTTTTAGCAAAGGCATCAGCGTGCTCCTTACATTTATTACCTGTGTGAACAAGCACCCAGGTAAAACTGAGTTGAGCAAATTTGCTGAGATTTCTGGAAAGATGTTTGACCTCCATGCCAGTTCTCGTGCACTTATAATTGCTCGAGAGGATATTAATCATATACATNTACAACTATACAATTTAAGAAATTTATACAAAGAAAACAGTTTTGAAATTTTCTAAACATCCCTTCATATTCGTTATAACATAATTTTATGCGTTGAAATTTCCCTGTCATCCGACGTCACACAATTGATATAAACACAGGCGGAAAAAAGCTATAAAACAAGGTTAACTTAGGTACGGTTGATTGTTTTCTAAAACTTTAGAATGGAAGTTTTTTCCTTTTTTTTTGTTGTTGTATGAGTCCTGAATGTTTTTATATGAGTCTTGCATAATTTGTACTTTATTTAAGTTTATATTTTTTCTTAGATTTTTATTTTAAATATAGACAATGGCACTTTTTTCAAACTGCAGTTATTAAATAATAATCAAATATCGACAAAAAATCTATAAATGCAGCTTTTTATGAACTAATCGAACATTTTCCTTCACCTTCCTCAGGAATAAATTTTTTTTTAGTATTCCTGATGAAGGTCATTCAATTGGCGATAACGTTAGGTTAATAAAAAGCTGCATTTAAAAATTTTTTTTTCGATGTTTGATTATAGCTAAGTTCTTCTAGCATTTGAATTTAGTTAATGACGATGAATTCGTTTAAAATAAATAACGCATTGGGAATGTTTTAACCAATGCAACAAAACACTTATTAAATTCACTCGAACGATATGAATGTCATTTTATCTGCACCGACCGTGACTAACTTTAAATTCGAAAATCGAAATAGTTTCTTCCTAGGTTTTACTTTCTCGGTTTGTTATGTATATAACGTGGGAAAGTATTGGAATCGTGTCGAATTCGACCCTCCTAGTTTCTTTTTGGCAAATCTTGATGTTTTGAGATTCCAAATATTTATCTGGCTTAGACTTTTTTTGGGTCGGGGTCTCAAAAAACGCGATTTGTAGTACATACATACGATACGTAAAGTGCGTGTCTGTGTTTGGATCTGTTACGTTTCATATCTCGAAATGAGATGATAATTAAAAAACGAAATATAACATTTCAGCTTGTACTTGCATATAAAGGACATCGATGCTATTAAGTTCTTGTGATTAAATGTCAACGGAGTGGGGAAACAGCAAAAAGTCCTGTTGTATCTGGAGTGGGGTCAAATTTAATCAGGAACTTTCTTTGTTAGTATTTACGTTCAGTTTTATAAAAACGTATTTCAACTCTCAAAATTCAGCTTATTTTCAATTATATAATAACAGTATGATATTTTTATACGAAATATTACAGTTGATGACGCTGCAAAAATTTTAACTTCGTATTCATATAACGTCTAGAGGTAATTTCAAGGTTTTCTCAACACAAATAACACGCAAAACCTTTAAACTTTAATATAAATATTACACGTTATCGAACAGATATATAGGTTTGATAAGTAATAAATACTACATATGAAAAGTGTATAGAAGAGTGTATATGAGAATGGAGAGGAAAGAAAAAAGTAACCCATTCGATACTGTTGGTGTTTTCTCTCGTATATTTTTCTGGTATGTATTATTACTTTATCTGATTAATAATTGAAATTTTGTAATAGAAATAACTATTAACTTATTTACTCAGGAGTAATCTTTTAAAACAAAATTCTTTCATATTTTCATTCCGTTATTTCATGTTATAAAACATGCATATATACAAATTTTATATTATTATTGTATTTAATTTTCCGATTTTTACCAAATGGAAGCTGACACCGCAAATCTTTCCGTGTGCACGAAATTGTGAAACATACAGTATATATTGATAGGGATTTATTGATTCTTAAGATAAATCAAAGAGATTTAATTAAAATTATTTAGTTTATCAAACACGCGATGTATTCTGTGTTCGATGTGTGCTTAATTATTTATTTAACCTAATATATTATGAAAAATATAATTAAAAACTTATTACTTATCGTTAAACTATCGAACAGCTCGAGAGAGAGTTTACATGAGGTAGGCCTGGCGACAAATACCTGGAGATTGATTACGTTCTCGTTGAATAATTTCTCGTGGAGATTAAATTTAGGCGTTGACTAAAGTTCAGGTGTTAATCCAGGTTGGGTTTACTTCAGGCGCTAATCCAGATTTGGATTAAATATGGCGATGGAGGGAATACACGCACATAAGAAGGTCCACGGCTGATGAAGGGAAAAGCCCCGATCGTCATTGTTCCCTCCGTTTTATACGGGATCTCTTCTGGGTTTTTCCCATTACTTCACTCGTAGTTTTCGTATTAAGGATCCAATCAACAAGTTTCGCCCGTTGAGTCATAGCGACACATGTGATGTGTCACTTCCAACAAGGAACTATGTCCGTGGGAAACAGTTTAATCGCCGATTTAATCGATAATTTTTTTTGAAAAATGAGCTGGATTCGAACAACAAGATATTATAATTTAAAATAAAGGTTTTCCGACAATAAATTTTTTCATTAAATTCGGCTCTCACAGAATGCTTTCCTAAACGAAAAAAACTGTTAAATTTTATTACTAAGAAGACGAAGGAAATTCTTTTTACCTCTGCATATAAACGTTGATAGATCATTAAAGAGTTACATTCAGTTAGTTAATAATTGACTGAGAGAAACAGGTTCTATAATTTAATGTATATATTATATTTTATATTCGTGAGAATTTCACCGTCCGAGGAAACATTTTCTTCAGAATTCGTTAGAATTTTTTTTTTTCTCCTTTAAATTATATAATTGGAAATTTTATTGTTGTCAAGAGAGTTTTTAACTAAAAGTTATTTGTGAAATAAATTTTCTGCTCATTAATTTAAAAGTTGTTTGTGTTATTTTATACGAGTTCATTTAATACTTGGTATAATGAAAACGAATATTTAAAAAAATATATAAATAAATCATTTATTCTATTGCCTGACTATAACACTTAGTTTACTTTAAAAGTCGGCGGGCTTTTGTTTCTAAAGCTGTTATCACATAATACAATTATTACGCTGAGTTTTAATTAATTAACATAATTTAATAAATGAAGTGAATAAAACTACTGTAATATACATGAATCTTGAATACATTATGAATAATTACTCTCAAATGTTTTTACTGTATTATACATTCATTCAGACAAGAAAGCATGCAAATGAATTGTACGACTGTCGTCTGATATCGAAAAGTTCCTTAATTTATTTAAACCGACCTGCTTTAAAATCTTTAAGTAATTATTTATAAATAATTCCTGACATAATTTTACGATAGTTTATTTATCTACGAGATATTTGATCTCTAGATATACCACTTATAATCTACTGCATGTGGATTGGATGATTGAAATGCACAGACTTTGAAAACATTTACAGTTATGTTGGAAATGACTTGACCTGATTGAAAAGTTTTTTTTCAGCTTTAAGGTTTGAAGTTTGGAAATTAAATGCCTGGTATCTTCTCTCACATTTTGGTAGAATCTTGTAATATTAATTAGATTTTTGCATGATTTGATATTGTGTTTTAAAATAATTAAAACCGAAAAATAGAATTTATAACTATGTTTTTTGTGTTGTGTCTACAATCAATGAAAGATTGTGTTAACTTGTTCAAAGGTCATTCAGTCGCATATAAATATGTAATTCTGCCCATATCGCATGTGAGTTGTAAAGAGTCACAAATCTATTAGAGCGTTTAAAGTTTGAATATAAAAATTTATTAATTTAAAGTTTTCAAACTGTAAAATCACGGTCAAATTTTGATGCACGTATTTATTTAAAAATAAAGTAATTTATTTTAGAGTTTGAATTTATAAAAATATACTTGATGATTTTAGCTGTATTTTTATTTTTCGGTTGTTATATATAACAGAGAAAAAGTATGACCATCGGTCATAAATTAAGTTCGGAGTTCCAAGATTACTTGGTTTTTGGACACGGGACTTTGAAACAGCCAGAAATACAAAAAATCGTTTTTTTGTATGTACGGTACGTTGTATTTGTGTACGTATAAGTGTGTGTGTAGAAAGCCCGGTTTTGTTCACCCTTTTTAAAGCTTAATAACGGCCGTGTCTTCTGTCAAAATTATCTAATATTTTGTAAGGATAGTTGATGTACAAAGAGATTGATGCTATAAATTTTAGTGGTTAAATCTCGAACCGGTAAAGAGAGAAAGAGGTCGTGTCATATCTCGTGAAAGGTCGGAGATGATCACGAATTTACTCGTTATTAACATTTAAAATTTTTTACGGGTTTCTAACCTCGAAATTAAGCTCTTTGCCATTTAATAATAGTTTAAAAGTATAATAACTTTTTAAATAAAATAGCGTAATAAATGGCGCCACCAACTGTTCTCGGAAAAGTTAAGCAACTCGTTGCTGAATTCTTTAAAACGTTCATTATTGAACGTATATGCATTTGTTTTCTTCAGAAACACAAAAAATATCATTGAACAATTATACTAATTTTTACCTTTAAAAAGAATAAATAGCACAATTTAAAACGTCATTGTTTGGGAAAATATTTAGCAAAGTAAATAATTTGATCGTTATCATTGTAATGAATTACGATAAATTATATTTTATGATAAACATCGTTCGTTTCGTTGTACGGTAAGTTGAGCACCACCGTAGCAATTTCAGAATTATTAAGACAAGAAAATTATGGTAAACAATTAAATTATCTCTTTTCAGTTGGATTTTCCCAACAATAAATGAGGGAAGAAAACGAGTTTTAAAGGAAAAAGATTTATACAAATGTTCAAGATATCATACTTCGGAGTATCTTGGCGATCTGCTTCAGAAGTAAGTTAGTTGTTATTTAGTTGTGGACATCGATATTTTAGTTACTGCTACCTAATTCTTTCAGATTTATTTATTATTTCTATAAGACTAATCAAATGAAATAGAACAAGCGAAGGTTGTTATATATATATATATATATATATATATATTAGTCATTATTACTTAGGTACTGAATATATTGTGACCTTGTGTTCTGTGTCTCTTGGATATCGTGTCAGGATGTGACACCACCGAGTCTATCAAGACTCGGAAATCACGACTTTACGTCACGCGATCGGTCGCGGGTAAGCGGTTGGATTCGGAGTAGAGGTGAGGAGAGAGACGAGGAAATGATTCACTCGGAACTCCGGTTAACTAAAACGAACAATTTTAATTCTAACAAAATTCACTACATATTTACTGTCGATATCAAGCATGACTAAAAGTCTTGATTATTAGTAGCCCGTTCGAGAGAGAGCGTTTACAAACGACGATCGCGTGTTGATAAATACATTGTTAAGAGACGTTGTGTAGTAATCCTGTATTCTGACACTCGGAAGGTGATTATCTAATGTTATGGATATAGTAACACAGAGGGTGAAACTGATGATTAAAACAGTCCACAATTGAATATTCAATGGCTTCCCGGTCGGGTAACATTCAGAAGTAGTATTCGGAAGATGCAGGGACAAGTTCTTCTGTTCCCAGTTGAACGACTAGAAGACGACTGCCTGGATTCTCATCGCTCTCCCTGGTTATTGGGAATTTTTCCTTCTGGGGTTTATCCAGGAGGTCAGGAGTTTATTGCCAAGGGTCTGGCGTCCAATACTGGAAATTTATCGAAAGTTCCCGGGTGACACATTAATGAGTAGATGGATCGTCTTCACGAACTAATTTTTATGATAGCTCTTAACAAAAAATTCGAAGTCAAACGACGAAAAATTGTAAAATGACCAAAGGCGAAGATAACACTTTCTTGGGGGTCTCTTTGTCCCTTACATCATATAGCATCGAACTTAACAATATAAAAATTTATTGCAAAATAAAATTTATAATATTTATTTGTTTTACAGTAAAAACTTTACTAGAGTCACAACTATAATATTATTTACTTTTTCTATATTCTGTCCAAATTTCTTTACTTGAGATTTTTTACAGACATAGTAATCTACAAAACACATTTTTTCACTTTTTTCATCGAACTGAGTCTAATAACAATTTTACTCGTTATTAACATTTAACTATTGTTATAACCAAATGTTGTAAGGTAAAACAACTGGTTCGTAATTTTTTTTGAAATTTAGGGTTTATAACGCCGAGTGTATCAATGGCTGTGACGGGGACAATTTAAATCTCTCCGGTTAATGATTGAACTTGAAAGTAAAGTTGAGATAGCTATTCTAGTTGGACTTAGCCATGTAAAAAGAAGAGGGTATAGAGGGATGAGTGAGGGGTAGTGTGGAAAAAGGGTGGTAGTGGGATAGAAGAGGGAAAAAAGAAGTGGAATGGAGGTAGAGTTTGGGATCACAATCCTGATTAGCAACACACTTACAAAAGAAAACAGTCGTTGGTACAAATAATTTACAGAATGTCTTTCCGGCTAGACGGTTACAATATTGAATACAAAGCGAAACGTACATGGCAGTGGCCTGTTACTACCGGTAATCTCGATAAAAAAGTACTACACTAATGGTATGTTACATAAAAGGACAATGTTAAGTTAACAGAAGACATTGTTGACAAGACTGCTGATCGGAGCAAAACACACAGAGGGTCACAGATGCAATCTAAGACCAGTACAGAGGATGCTATGCGTGACACCATGGGTGACACTTACTAAGTGCATGTCCGTGGTTTCACAGAAGCAGGCAACGAAGACCAGTAGACAGATTAGCCAGTCAAACAACCACAATGATGGTGACAAGTGTGGCGATCCCACCAGCTGCCAGTACAGAGTGGAACAGCAGTAGGATCCCCGCATGTTATTTCAGATGGAGTCCAGAAAACCAGTTAGGTTTGACGTAGTCCTGAGTTATACTCAAAGCGACTACAAGAGTTTACAAATTTGGCAAACAGCTCAAAAATCTCTTTATTCTCACAGAGTATTTTGGTTCAGAAGGCCAACCGAATCCCTTCCGTAGACAGTGCTAGATAAATTTTTCCTGCTGTCTTTTATACAGCATACAGTGAAAGATGTAATGGAGGGCGTCTTATTCAGAGATGCCATCACAACCGCACCTATCATTTTTAATCCTTTTGAATCTTGTAAGGTAAGAGGGTAAGTTACCATGACCTGACAAGCATTGCGTGATGGCATCAGAAGTGATGAAGTAGCTGAGAGCCTGTCTTTTATTAATCGACAGAAGAAACTTGTAAGTGGTTCTGCCAGTGGTTGAGGTAGCCCAATCCTTTTGCCACTCCTCCATTATACAGTCTCTGATATTGCTCTTGATATGGATGATGGGGATTTTAGAAAAAGTGGTGGTGATATCCGTTGTGTTGACCCTTTTTAGCAAAGGCATCAGCGTGCTCCTTACATTTATTACCTGTGTGAACAAGCACCCAGGTAAAACTGAGTTGAGCAAATTTGCTGAGATTTCTGGAAAGATGTTTGACCTCCATGCCAGTTCTCGTGCACTTATAATTGCTCGAGAGGATATTAATCATATACATACTGCCTGTGTTGATACAGATGCTGCCATTGTAGGTCCTCCTATTTTTAGTGATGGTGTTTAGAGCTTTATAAACCACTAGCAGTTCTGCCCGGTTGTTAGTACAGTGCATGTGCAGCCAGTAATATTGTTGATGCTGAATCTCATTCTCACTATCATAGATGACGAAGGCTGCACCAGTAATCTTATCATTGCATGAGCCATATGTGTAGATTTTCCAGTGGTCTCTGCTGTCGCTATAATGATTGTTCCTGACATTAATGGTATAGCTGTTGGTTTCTTTTGGGTACCTTCCAGGAGTACTTTCAGTAAGATAATTAATTATTGAGTCAATCGAGTTCGCACTATTAGAAGGAATCAATTCCTTGCTACAGAAGTTCCGTATCCCTTCGGTGGTAATATTCTGATGGTTAATGGTAAGCATGTTCCACTGCTAGAAGACCTCTTTAATTCGTAGATGTATGGGGATAATGTTAGCTATAACCAGCAGCGCATTTGTGGGCTGTGCAATATGCCCTACAGATTCTAATAGCAGCATGCCTCTGGTTAGACAGTAATTTCTTCTTGATATAGGCTAATGCTGCTCTGTCTCCCCAGACCTGGGCTGCATACAGAATAGAAGGCTCTATCGCTCCCCTGTACATTAATTTACAGTTCCTACTACCAAGTCCCCAAGTGTTTCTGGAGATGTATTTGAAGAGGTTTCCTCTCTGCTGAACCTTTTTACAGATTTCAGTGATATGGATCTTCCAATGTAGCTTTGGGTCCAAGTAAACACAAAGGTATTCAAGGCAAAATACAATTTTTAGTTTTTTCTTGTCCAGGTAAATGGCCCTTGGGCACTGCAGCTGCTTCCTCCTGGAGTTTTTGTGCACACTATTGCTTCGCTTTTATTATAATTGATCGGGAGTTCATTCTTTTTGCTCCAGTTACTGTCCAGCTCTAGAACCTCATTAGCCTTCTTTTATAGAATGTTACTATTCTGATGCACTATCATTATCAGCGCATCGCCAGCAATGCCTTGTGCCTTGATATTTGGGTCCGAGTCAAGGCTACAAAGCAGGCCATCATATACCAGGTTCCAGAGTCTCGGTCCACTTCTGGAACCCTGCTGTCAGCCTCTGTTAACATTCTTTTTCAGGTTAATTGTCCTTGAGTAATAGCCAACAGTCCTATTTTCCAGGTAGCTGTGGTCAACCTATATATGTTGTTCAGACAATTAGTTTGATACAAACAATGCAATATAGAAGGCCACCATTGGTGGTCGAATGCCTTTTTAAAATCAACAGTTATCAGCAGAGCATATCTATCGCTGTCCCATGCCTTATGAACAAAGTTTTTTACACCCTTATTGCATGCATGGCCGAACAGGCAGGGCAGACCCCATATTGCTTCTTGTACTGAAGGTTGTTCTACTTTATTCTGCCAATGAGAAGACCATCCAAGACCTTCCCCATTGTTGGCAACAAGCTGACGGGCCTGTAGTCACATTCTATAGTTGGGTTGTTCACTTTTGGAATAAACTTAACATTTGCCTTCTTCCACAGTTATCGGAAATGGCCATGGTTTAGACAGCCATTATACAAAGTCATGAAAGCAATAGGGATTTTTTGAAATGCTGCTTTTACCATTTCTGTGGTGATATTGTCAACGCCTGGCGCTTTCTTGTTGGCCATAGTATTTACCGTGTGTTCTACTTTTCGAAACGAAAAACCAACAGTCATCTTTGCTGTTCTAGGGGACAGTCATGTTATTTGTTACTTTCTCATGCATTCCCAGCTCGTTGTCTGTACTATTATTTGCGAGATGACTCTCAAGTGGGTTCTCAACATTTGCAAGAATAATATATATACTAGTGCCATCTTTCTTAGTGAGATTAAAGATAGTAGCTTTTTTGTTATTCTCAAAGACAATGTGATATGATTGAAAACAGGGATCGTTACACGTCTTGGTGCAGAAATTCTTCCATGCTCTGGTTCTGGCATGGTTTATTGCTTTTTTATAGTCGTTTAAGCTTTTGCCATAGGTTTTTTTTTTTGCTCCTTCCGGTCACTGTTCTTGCCTTGTAGCCATTGCTTGCGGAGTTTCCTGATTTCATGCTTCTTTTGCTCCAACTCATTGCTCCAACAGTGTGTTTTCCTCTTACTCTTACAGGTTGCTGAAGCCTTAGCTGCCCTCATGATTGATTCAGTCATATGACTTACATAGTGACCAATGTCCACTGGGTTCACCAAGGGGTGAAAGCTGTAATTTCTCCAGTGGACTGCAAAGAGTTACCTGAAGGTTTCCCAGTTCGTGTTTTGACGGTGGGCATCTTGAATGGTAGGGTTTAGCTGAATGTTATTGTTT